TTCTTGTATTTTGTTAATAAAAATATATAAGTAGGCAGCATACCTAGTGTACCTACACATTTAATACTTTTCTGTACAGCTATATATTTATTTCTTTGATTTAATTTCCACTTTGATACTAAACATTTTTGTAATTTACTATGTTTTTTTTGTTAATATTTTTACAATTTACAACACAACAACTCCGGTTGCTTATTGTATTGTTTTTACCTATTTTTTTTGAAAAAAAGTAAAATGTGTATGTGTAGTTGATATGCCAAAATTACAAAATATCGCCCTAAAATGCACGAATTGTTCGCAGCTAGCGCTAGTATCGCTTTTGATTCCCCTATCATGGCTTTGCACTGAGCGAATAGGATTATTATATTAAAAGTTTGGTAATACTGTTAATCCACCTGTTCGGTTTATGACCTAAAAACCTGCGAGAACAGTTGAAGAAAACTAAGTATTCTGAGGTAAATCAACAATAAATTACCAACTGATAACTAATACAAAATATAAATTTTCTTTGACGCGATTCCTTTCTTTTGCCGGATGAAAACTTTTACCTATATAATTAAAAAAAAATTAAACTCATCAAGAGTTCGTACTAATTGCTTAACTCGTTTCCTGAATGATTTGATATAATTACAATGTGGGATACACAGAGATACTTCTTCGTTGCCAGTAAAATATCTATAATAAAATTGAGAAAAATTTTAATTTAACTAATTTATTCTCAAAAAAATATCGATTATAGAAATTTTGTTATAGACACTATACGTCAGTTCCAATTTTTAGAGGACGTGTGTGGATTAATCCAAGAGATATTTCCAAAGCTGGACAATAACGGAAATCAAGAAGCATCAAAGGATTAAAACATTTAGAACAGGTCACTTCAAGGATATCGTCAGTAAATATTAAATCAAGAATTTTACCTTGAGAATTAGGAACGAGATTAATTTGCTGGAGTTCAAGAAAAAATATGGATTCTACTAAAATTTGAGCACTACGGTTCATTAAGTGAATGGGAACAGGCGTAACTTCTTATAAACACCAGTGAATCTCAGGAATATTAAAATCTCAAAATATAATAAATTTAGTGGATTCGAACTTATTTTTTATGGCTTCATAGTTGTCACAGAAGGACTGGTAAATATCGAGACAAGAATGAGGAGGAATATAAATATTACCTACAATAAAGTCAGAACCATCTATTTTTAGTTGTACCCAAATATCTTTATAGTTTGGGACTATAGGGGTAGCAATTGCCATGGCCTGAATGTTACTGCGAATTGCTAACAGAACTCCACCTCCAGGTTCACAATTTAACTCGTGGTATAGACGATCACGAAGCTAAATGAAATAAGAATTAGTAAACAACTCAGAATTACCAATATAGTCATTAAGCTACGTTTCTATTAGAGCAATCACTTCATAATCACAGACACTATAGCTTAGAAAGAGCTGATCGAATTTTGTTCTTAGACCTTTTACATTCTGATAATAAATGTTTATAGAAGTTTCATTTTTACATTTAACTAATGAGTCCGTGGACAGTGAAAATTTGGGGTAACAGGCATATTATGATTATTAATAAAGGAACCTGAGGACTTAATTACATCCTGACACAGGGATTTAATTAATTACATTTTTTCGGCATAAAGGAGCAGACCGTGAGTGATGAAATATTTTATAGGAACAAATTTAACATCAGTCGGCTTTTCCTTTGTAAGAGCTAGACAGAAAGAGACATTTTGCGCATCTATTACATCATTAAGTCTATGTCTATACAATGGAGAGCCGAAAACTAATATATTTGTAGAAGAACAAAGGTGTAATAGTGAAACAATGTAAATTATTTTTTATAGATTTTCCAGAGAGCGCCATTTCTGGAACCCAAAACATAATGACATAGTCTTCTTTGCTCATTCTGTCTACTAAGTTTTTACCACGTTTTATAATGGACTCGACTGTTGGTTTGATAAGATATTGACAGTTTATATAGAAACGACAGTTAGTATACTTTTTTAATAGTGGTATAAATCATTTCACATTGGAGTCTCCTATTACGAGGATTTGATGTTTACAATAGTTTGAAACGTGCTTATTACACAAACCTGCGTTTAAATACTTTGTAAAATGTAAATTGAACTTTTCAACTGAAATTGGGTATTTCAGTGACGCTGATTTCAAATCTGCTTTTAGTTTCTTTCTATCACGTAAGGTTTCTAAACAAAATACTACAAAAATGCAAAAAGTAAAAAATATATTTATAGATACTTAGGATAAAAAAGAAAATAATAAGCCAAGAAAACAAACAATAAAACCGGGAAAGTAGTTAAAAAATAACATAATCCTTTGTTTTCTTAAAAAATCTTTCTCTCATTTCGGAAAAGCTTCTTTTTGTTGTTTTTCGTGTATATTCTGCGGTAGGACGGTCCCTTTTAAGCATCTAACAGTAGTTGGCCATCATTTTGATATCCCAGTGCCCTTGATATCGCCGTTCCATCTTTTTTATATCCTGGTGAAAGCGCTTCCCTTGCTCTGCACTGAAATCGCCAAGATTATCCGGAAAATAGTCAAGATGAGCATGTAGAAAATGAATTTTTAAGCTCATGTTACAGCCTAACTTTCTAAATTTGTCCAACATGTTTTCAACAATACTTTCAAATTCAGGGTCTTTGTAGTTTCCTAGAAACTTATTTATAACTTGTTTAAAAGCTGTCCATGCTTCTTTTTTGTTTTCCTGTATAACCATCTCAATTTCATTAGTTTTCATCAACCTTCTTATTTGTGGCCCAACAAAGATGCCTTCTTTTAATTTAGCGGAAATGATTCACACAAATACTTAAAGCAACCACCATTTTTGTCTAGAGCTTTGACAAATTGTTTCATCAGCCCCAATTTTATATGTAGAGGGGGTAATAAAATTTTCTCGGGATCAACTAGACTTTCCCAAATTACGTTTTTGGAGCCAGGCGTTAAATTTTTTCTTGGTGGCCAGTTTTTTTTGGTCCAGTGGTCATCTCTTGCTCTACTGTCCCACTCACATAGGAAACATATTTCGTATATCCGGATTGTTGACCTAAAGGCAACCCTAAAATTTTAAGGTCACCACATAGAATCCAGTTATGTTGTCTGTAGTTTATTCTTAAAAGCAGTGCTACAAGATTTTCGTAATTTTCTTTTAGCTGAGTAGAATGACCAACAGGAAAAGATGCATATAAATTGCCATTATGAAGTAGAACAGCTTTAAGACTTCTCTTTGAAGAGTCTATAAAAAGTCTCCACTCGGCAGGATTGTATTCAGGAGCACCTATGTGAATAACCAAGTCAGATACATTTTGACAATATACTAGTGAACCAGCTGCGGCAAAGTAATTGACAAATTCAGCCTCACGATTTCTATACCAATAAAATCCCTGACTAACACATTCAGTTCTACTTGAGAAAATAGCTGCTGTTCACGGGTTCCTGAGGTAGATGGTTCAAAAATGTCAA